AGATGCACATCACCTAATATGCTTAATTGGTAGTAGGCTTTCGAGCCTATACAGCTTGGAGTAAGACAACATGCATGAAGAGGATGATGTGGAAAAAATACTCATTTGCCTAATAATTCTGCACTCCCTGTAGACGAACCTTCTTGCTATGAGACAACAGTACTAACCCCAAAACAAAAGACAAAATTACAGAGACAATAAAGAATGTTACAAATAGTATAAAATAGTAAAAGAAAAGAAATGAAATGACAGGTTTAATTTATTTTCTTCTTGAAGAATGTGGACTTCTTCAAGATTTTAATGGTAAATGAGAAGAGGAGCACCATAGGGGGAGAAAAGTGTTGATGATTCTAAGGGCCCATGACTGACGGGGTCCCTAGAAAACAGTAGAAGAGTCAACTAGTCTATTTTTTATAACTATAAACTACAGCATATACCATATTTTATTTTGTGTTTGGTAAAAAACAAGTGGTCCAAGTGCACACGCTCCTAGCTGATGCTGAGTGCTAGAGCTGTAGATAGTAAAGTGGTTTTATAGTCCTGCAAATGTGTCTGTCAGCATGCAGCAGTGCTGTGTGATACTGCAAATTTGGGCATTGATCCAATACCCAATAAATATCAGTATCAGTATTGGCAATACCAATACTGATACTGATATTTTTTTAATTTCTAAGGGCAACTTATGTAGGTGAGAGCATTGCGATTTTTGCTTTCCGTAGTAATTAGTTAACACAACAAGACACACCTTTCAGCTATTCATGCATTTTGAAACTGGGTTTTTTGGAGACCTGGAATGTAACTGTGCCTATTGTTAAAGCACTTTGGGTCAGCATGTGTTGTTTAAATGTGATATAGGCTGGGGAAAAAAATAGACGTGTAGTCAAAACAAACAGGTTCAGATATTTTTCATTATGCATATTCTTCTCATTTCCAAATAACAAATTAATTTAGTTGGGCCAAATACTGAACTTGGAGGACAGGAAAAAAATATTGATCCTATATTGCTAATATCGATCTGATATCAGTACCACCATTGGTATTGATACTATAGACATTTGGACCGATCCACCCACCTTTACCATACAGTTTTCATTTGGACAGAGGAGGGAGAGGGGTTTTCTCTTCAATCCATCAAGATCCTATAGCTGCGCGTTGCTGGAACGTATGGACTGCCTAATGTTGATTGGTTATAACGGAATAACGGAGCTCTCTGGGAAAGGTGGAACAGTGAAAAACACCAAAGATCACAAAATAAAGCATCAAAAGCACTGACAGTGGCTGCAGTGAGGCTTTTCATTATCTTTAACACTCAGTTTCACTACAGCTCTGTGCATGTTATAACTTTGCTCTCCTCCATGGTCCAATGGCACATCATGAAGATCTTGGAACAAATGATTTTACACCGAGACTGTCCTGTACAGGTGTCACCGAGCCCTAACTCATCTGGAGGAATCTGGCCCTTATGTGAGAGTTTTGTTCTTTGATTTTTTTTTAAGTGGTTTCAATACCATTCAATCAAATATACTCAAAGACAAGCTCACCATGATTCCTCCTTTGTTTCCTGGATCGCAAACTACCCGACAGAAAGGACACAGTTTGTCAGGTTGGGGAACTGTGTTTCTAGGAAATTAATCAGCAGCACGGGGTCTTGACAGGGGACTGGCTCAATTCCTTTTCATTGTATACAGCAGAAATAGAAATGCTTGGATGACACTGCCATTGTAGCGTGTATCAGGAATAGACCAGAATCTTAACATGGGAATATTGTAAAAGCCTTCAGTGACTGGAGTCACAAAAACTACCTCATATTGAACAACTATAAGGCAAAGGAAATGAGAGTAGATTTCTCAAGACTCCCAGACCCCCTGTTACGACTGATCGTAATCATATGTAAATTTGAGTGTCCAGGTGCTCCTCTGGGATTGGTGCATCCAGGGTGGATGGCTCACACCGATTGGCTGAGGACCGGGAGGCAGCGGATATGAAGAGACCGCCGGCGACTGGCACTTCATTCATCCTCGGCCCAACCCAACCGGCAGACCGTTCACTGTGTCACGATGTTACCATGTTGGTTAATGTAAGAGCATGTAGGGGTGGACCGCCTTTTTGTTTGATCAGTTTTCTCCTGTTTTTGTTAGGCAGGGAGGAAAGTGATTGTCGTTTGGTTTAGTTCCTTTGAGTAGGTAAGTTGTGTTTATTCCTGAGATAGCCTACCTTTTGTTTGTTGTTTTGGCCTTGGGTTCACCCTGAAGTTATGATATGCTCCCTTCCTTTGTTTAACTGCACTTACTGTAAATAAATCACTGTCACAAAATATTAAGTGTGTGACGTGCTGTTTGGGGTTGGACGGGGATGGATCACCCTTTATGTTGTGGTCTGGCCGTGCCTAGACGGGCCATAACACCCCCTCTTCAGCCTGTGAAAGTTTGTGGGATGGACATAGAGATGGTAACAAAATACAAATATCTAGAAAACACCTAGATAACAATCTAAATGCGTCCCTGAATACCAACCTATACAAAAAGTGGCAAAGTTACCTCTTTTTGTTAAGAAAACTAAAATCTCTTGATCTGCAGTAAAATATTAACGATGTTCTATCAGTCTATGGTGGCAATTGTCCTGTTCTATGCTGCAGTCTACTGGGGAGGCAGCATGAGTAACAAGGATGCAAGGAGACTGGACAAACTAGTGAGAAAAGCTGGCTTTGTAATTGGTGCCAGACTGGAGATGCTGGGGAAGGATGCACATTAAAGACATTAGAAGCCATCCTGAATAACGCTGATCACCCACTTTATAAAATCTTTATGGAACAAAAGGCATCAGTACTGGAAGACTCCTCTCTCTCTGTTGTAAAACAGAGTGATATAGGAAATCAAATACACTCACAGCTATCAGGCTTTTCTCATACAAATAGCAGATGAACAATTTCAGACAGGAGTTTTTCTATTTCTTAAATAAAGCTTAGAACAGACACCAAGGGTGTGTTCCAATAGCCCGATTTACTTAGTAAGGTTTCTAAACTTAATAGGTCTTCACATTTTCTAAATACTAACAGAAAGAGCTTCAATGATTTCTTTTTGCTTCCTTTAGCATAGGATACACTGGAACATCCTTATGAAAGGGGAGGTGAAAACGATGACATAATGATATAACCCTGATATAGACCTGCTTATATATTTCAAGTTTTAAACAACAGCCTGTTAAATTCACAGCTGAACTTTGAACCTCTCACTTGCTTTCCATGAAGAATGCAGAATCCTGTATAAGCCCAAGATTATGATGTATAAGTGATAAAAGCTGCACTTAAGCTTCTGTATTATCATTGTTCCTTACTAATGATCCTTTTCTGAATTGCAGTATTTATATTTTTTTTTCTTTTGTACGAGTAAGCTGGGATAAGTGATAGACAGAGGGAATTTCACAGAAATACCAAACAGAAGGGAGGAAATGAGCTGCCTTGGATCACAGCAGGTAAATGTAAGAAAACAAGATGTATTTAATCTTATATTCTGCCAGCCCTAAAAGTAAAAGACTGTACAGATGTTGAGTCAATATTCTGCTTAGATAAACGGAATTTTTTGCTTTCATGCAAGATTGACGACATGTGCAAGACACATTATTACATTTACATGTTTTTAATGAAAACATTCTTTTTTCTTTTTTCTTTTTATATTGATTGGTACCTTACACTAAGGACAAATACAAAATATATGTTATCTTGGAAGTAAATTTAAATTCTAATCTGTAAAATGGCATAGAAGTATTTTTACTGCTTCAACATTTTTATTTATATTATTAAGTATCGGAAATTTTCAGAAAATAACTGAAATAATAATTTTTCAAACAAACTAAACAACCAAACAACTGTCTTTGTCCTGAGACCTAGTTTAGGACTTGTTCTAGAAACATCTTTACAACAAAGAAATATTCCACACGAAAACAAATTTCTTACTTTTTCTTTGTGTGTTATATCCGAACTAATTATGTCATTTACGGGGGAAAAATGCTTCATTTTCTGAAGCTAATGCATTACGCTTCCGTACCTTTTTTGGGTTTCGGGGGACAGAATTACAATACGCACACACTTCCTGGTGGAGCTCCCCCTCTCCCCTGCGAAGAATCAAAATACATTCCTAGCAAGCCAGCTACACAAGTTGTCAAAAAGTTATGCTTGTTTGTCAAGTGGATAGACAAAACAGGTTTTATAAAAATGGACGTTATTCCAGGTTTTTTTTTACATGAATAGTAGAAAATATCCCCATGTCCACATAACCGGCACTGGTGACAAGTCATCTACGAAGAGTTGGATTGTTGAAGCTAAGAAAGTCCTGGTAGCTAGCGTTACCAACCGGGCCAGCCAGCTAACGTAAGCTGCTATTTTAACAGGCCTCGAATTGCTTGTCTTTTTTAAGGTTGTGTTGTGACAGTGTCAGACTCTGGTGAGGAATGGTGTAGTCTTATTCTGTCGTCCCAGATCTTTAATTATGCTAAAAGCTAACTTTAAACACTTATTTTCTCCAGTAGTTTTTCGTAGCAGCTGCATAACTGAGCTAGTTATGCTATGCGGTTAGCCTTGACTGCATCAAGGGAACTGACAGTAGGTAGGCAAACGCCGATCCGTTTTTCGGTGCTTGACAGCCGGCCAAAGAATGACAATTTGCCATTTTTGAAGGCTGTAACGTGTTTGTTTTATTGAGTAGCCATGTCTCCTTACGGCATCAGTCATAATTACGCAGTTACGGTAAAAAAAAATAATAATAATAATACGACTGCGTAATTGCAATTGATGTCTTGAAACCTATCTAAGTATCCTTGTGCTGATTTATTTATTATTTATTAATATTGAGCTTTTTACCTATGTGTTGTTTGCTCGTTTTCATAGTAAGTTACTAGCTGACCTAAGCTAGTAATGTCTCTATCGTTACCACCAGCGGAAATGCTTGAAACACCACCTGGGTATCCCTTTGAAGAAATCAATTATGAGGACATTGAAGTTGAGGAGGTAACTTGGGATTATTTTTGCTGTTTTTCGTGTCACTAGCGCATGACAACAGTTAGTGTCAGCTCGATGAAGCTCTTACCTAGTGAGTGTAACTTTGATGCTAACTACCTGTTCTCAGGTGGTGGGGAGAGGAGCTTTTGGGGTCGTCTGCAAAGCAAAATGGAAAGGAAAAGATGTTGCAATCAAGACTATTGAGAGTGAATCAGAGAGGAAAGCCTTTATTGTTGAGGTATTTTTTCGTTATTGAAATATTCTCAAGATTATTTCAACAGCCTGCCTGTGTGTAACCTTTCCTTTTCATCTCCAGCTCAGACAACTTTCACGTGTGAATCACCCCAACATTGTGAAACTGTATGGCTCTTGCAATAGTCCAGTAAGTTCACTAGGATAACAATGACTATTTGGTCTATTTGGTTGATTTTGAGTTTTTGATGGTGTTCTTTCCACCGCAGGTTTGCCTTGTGATGGAATATGCAGAAGGTGGATCATTATATAATGGTGAGTCAATATGTTTTAATAGAAAACACTATGGTTGTGTTACATGTTACACCATTTATTTTGCTTTGCTAGTAATGAACACTGCTTTAGACAGACACAGCCCTGTTGAGTTGATCCTCCAGTTGTTTGCATGTTCAGCCACTTTTCTGATTCGTTAGAAGTCCATGTTTGCACAGCGACATGCAGCCCTTACATGCACATACCTAAATATTCAGATAAACCTGGGAACTGGTGTGGTATAAAATTGATCAGTAATAAACTAATTTGTGTGCGTACAGTTAAGACAGTTAAATTAACATTTTCAGTAAGAATGAAAATTAAGTATTTGAACCTTCTGCAAATAAATTACATACATATATTTCTTACAGCCTCATTTTCAAATAAGTTAAAAGACTTATCCTATGTATATCTAGGCTTGTTGTTTCTTATGTTTACCATGAGTGCTTTTATAAGCAATTTGTTGTCATGTAGCAGCAGAGTCTGGGATTACTGGATGTCAGATAGGTGCAGGTTTATTTGAATTTTTCCGCCTAATGATGGCCTCCCTTTCTTGCGAAATCTCTTTCCCCCTAACTTTCAAACCATGAAAAGCAAATTCAACACTTCAGAAATGAAATATCATGAAATAAGAGGGGAGCAGCCCTCACCTGGCCAGCTGGGCCAGGTGAGGGCCAGTTTCCTGGCCAGGTGAGGGCTTTTCCTCTGCAAAAGGGGGACAAATTTAAATCTCTGACCTCAACTAAAAGGTCAAGGTCAGAGGTCAAGTTTTTGAAAATCTTGTGAATGTGATAACTCAAGAAGGAAGCCATTTTTTTGTTTTAAAAAAATTGAATTAAAGCTGTCTCCACTTCAGTCACAACTGTTTTATATATAATTCATTTTGGGTAGCATTCAGAGACAAAATGTCAAAAACTTGTGTCTTAAACATTATGGAGGGCACTGTTAGTACTAATTTGTATCATGTTCATAAAATATTCTGTGCTCAGTTGTACTTAAAATTTGCCAGAATTGTTATGGGGCAAATTTCGCTGAATTTCAGTGAGTTTGGGGTTTTCCCCTTGTAGCTATCAGGTTTACTTGAATGAGGTTTTGGGACAAAGTAGTCTGCTGTTCTTAGTGGTTTGCTTATAATACATTTTCATAAACTACATTTTTGGACATAGTTTTGTGGGACATTGCGGGCAGTGAAGCAAATATAACAAATGCTGAGAACTATCGAAAAGTCCTGTTGTTCTTGATGATATTAGAATAGAATAGAATAGAATAGAATAGAATAGAATAGAATATTCTTTATTGTCATTGTCACAAGTACAATGAAATTGAAAGATGTCTCCGGTCAGTGCAACATCACGAATGAACAATGATATTGCGTGCGTTTGTGCGCAAATGGAATTCCTGGTCTCTGACTTTGGCTGGCAATTGTTGTGATGATGGAAATATGCTTACACCAATGGCATCATGGTGGACATGATAGTGTAAAAATGACTGTGTTAAGATGAGTTTGAAATTAGTTTTGCGGAATAAATTTGGACAAAATGAAGTGTAAAGTGAGTTTTTCTAACAAGGCTGCAGATAGCTCAGTTTGTGTTGTGATTACATTTCATGGTGAAATATGCTGACACTTTGAAATCCAGTCATAAGATATTGTTGAAACAATGCTTTTGGATGTCTACAAATTTAGAGTTTGAACCTCAACCTCTTTTCCACTGCAAATGAGACTCTAGGCAGTTTAGTCTTACTACAGAGTCAGGTCACATGTATATGGTTGAATGAGAAAATACACATTATTTTATATCAGTTACTCAAAATTAATGTCATTAATATTATAATTTTTTCTTAAAAATATATATGCTGTTAGAGGGTCATTGTGGGTATTTAATGTGCATATATGTTTCTTCGTGTGCTTAGGCCTTGTATCTGTTAGCTGTTCTGGTGAACATTTTTGGTTGACAGAATGTTTATTAAGGGTCACCCTTTATTGATAATCAGTAATGATAATATCCCCAATGAGTTTGAAATTTTATGTTGACAAACACTCATTTTTATTTTTATTTTTATTGGTGAACTAATATACACTCCTGGGATGTCTTGTAATACTCGATTGAATTTCAAATTAACCTAGTAAGTTGTAAGATATTTCTCCAGCATTTTTAAACATGCTGTTGTCATTTAAAAAAAAACCATTAATATGAATTATATTTTTAAATATGATTGTATAATAATGATCATTATTTACAGGTATTCTGTTCCTCCTGGTGTCAAAAATACTAAATTATGTCTTGGAAGCTGTTAATGTAACACTCTTCTCCTTGTGAAAATAACACCAGGCTGTTTCAAATTTATAACATAGGTGCATCTGCTGGGACATTGAGGGCTAGTAATAGCTTTTTGTCAGTACTCTTAAAGAAGCTATAGTGAAAATGCACATGGGTGTTTCAGTCCATATGACAGTGTCATAATTACTATAGGGACCCCACACTTTGCCTAGTTGGTTTGAAGGTATGCTGTCTGTGGTCGCTGTTTGAGACTGTGTTTTCTTGTCCACAGTACTGCATGGTGCTGAACCCCTCCCCTATTACACTGCTTCCCATGCTATGAGCTGGTGTTTACAGTGTTCCCAGGGTGTGGCCTATCTCCATGGCATGAAACCAAAGGCTCTCATTCACAGGGACCTCAAACCACCCAAGTATGCACCTTTTCACCTCACACACTCCTTTATGTTTCCAGCAAATTATTTCTTTAAAGTAGTTTGATTCAGTTTGTACTATATTGTGTTCTTGTTAAACTATCTGGTATCTTTTGAGAAACATGTAGAGGCTTCTTTTTTTTTTTTTTGGCATGGCATTGTAAGCCACTTAGTTGAAAGTTACTCAAGATATTAACTAGGGCTGCCACAAACGATTATTTTGATAGTCGACTTGTCACCAATTATTTTTGCGACTAGTCGACTAATCAGATCATGCATCCATTGGACGTAAAACGTACAGCTTATTGCACCAGCACGCATCTGCTCTTGTATAACTAACTCATTAGCTTACAGTTTGAAGTGTTTATGGTATGTGCTAACTAAAAATAAAGACAAGATGATAGTTTATTAAATTTTAATTAAATCTGCAGGTTGTTTCAGTGAAGTTTAAATAAACTCAGCCGCCTGCTCCTTGCTATCTAAAATATAACAAGACACCGGAGTATATTCTCGAGCATCTCACACTTCTGATAATCAGTTGTTTGCTTGATGTTTATTCAGCTGTGTAAAAACTATAACTTTATTTCTCAGCCAAACCGATTTACTCAGGAACAAATAAAATACTAAAAAAGCCAAACAATAACATTTTTAAGTTATCTAAGTGACTTATATTACATGTTTAATCTGATTAGCGAAAGACGATTTGCCGGGAGTCCGGTGTTCTCACAGGCTCTAATGAGCCTTGAACCCCGGCTAACTATCGAGCTGGTGAGACGTATGTTACCCACTAGCTCGATAGCTAGTGGGTAACGCACGTCTCCGAAAACGTCAGAGCGCTTTTGAAAATATGTGGTGTCTTGATAAACTGAGCAGATATTTGAGGTTTACACAGCTACATTCTCACCTGAAAATATGTTAAACGTTTATTTTGTGACCCAAAAAGAATAATAAGAGTAATATTAAAACTAACTAGCTGCCGCCATTGTTGACTACTGCGCTGGGCCGCGCTATGAATTCTGGGGCACAGCTTCTTCTTCTTCGGGGTTTAACGGCACCTGGCATCCTTGTACATGCAGTGCTGCCATCTTCTGTTTCAGTCCGTTATTACACTCTTAAATTCTACTACTTATTCCTGCGTCTTTTGTGATCTTACAAAGCTTCAAACGACGCGTCGAGTATTAAATCAGTCGTCGACGATTTTACTAGTCGACGTAATCGTGACTAGTTGACTAATCGTGGCAGCCCTAATATTAACAGACATTTATTGCGACCTATCAGGAATGCTGAGGTGTGTGGAAGTGTCACAGTAAGATGTGTGTTGTATTTTGTTTTTCTTATTTTATTATGGCTCTTTTTATTTACCTTTAGGATGCTAATGAAAGTTTGGAATTGTGACATGTTCAGAATATATCATTTTTCTTTCTCTCTCATGATACGAATCCTACTATCAGAGAATTTGATAAAATGCTGTATTTTTCAAAAAAAAAGAAGAAGAAGAAGAAGAAATTAGCAAGACAGTGTACTCCAACCCTTAAATAACTAGCCAAAACATTTTGGCCATAAATGAACGACATTTGGATGTGTCTGATACAGGCAAAATGGGAAGGTGTAAAGACATTATTTACTTCGATATACATTTTGTTTTGGGCTTATTCAGATTATATTCTCATTGATTATGGAAAGCCTAGATGGAAAAAAGGGAAATGAAAAGCAGTGGTTGCAATTCAATCTGGCAGCTTCAGGATTCAGGGAATGGCAGCAATGTAAAATCCTGATCAAAGGAAGTGGTAAATACCATGAAGAAAACCTGTGTTATCAGCATATAGAGTTACTCGCATCTTCTTTATAACAGCTGGATCAGACTAACACACCCTCCATAAATGCCAACTCTTGCAGGGCATCCACACAGGATGAAAATCTCATTATTATGTGAAGACTGTCTTTATTCTTATTGCATGGTCATTTCCTCTGTGGAAACCCTTTAAATGTGTTGCACTAAAAAAAAGAAAACATGTGGAAATACAGAATAGTGGTAGATTTGATGTAATTGTTTACTGCTATATAGGATGCAGTAATTAATGAAATATGTTGTGATATCTGGATTATATTCCATTGTCTCAGAAGGACCAGAGGCAACACTTCCAGCATTAATTAAAAAAAAAAAAAAAAGCAAGAAAACTAACCTATTACTAGTAAGTATCCTGTAGGAAGAGAGGACCAGCTTACCTGTTCTGTGTAGATCATTTGGAGAGTTTATAGAATTAATGAAGCCTCTCATAGTCACAAATTGTCACCTATCCAATATTGTACAGGAATTTATTTCCTGCATTATTACTATAGAATTTCCTTTGTCTCAAACAGTCGTAAGAGCCGAGCACTGTCATTCCTCTAGTACTTTTTAAAAAGAAACATTTTAAACCAAACCGGGCTGAAGTTAGTTACAGTTAGTCCTATGTTGTTTAGTTCAAGGCACTTTTTTGCTGTTAACAGGATGTATGTCTTCCTTGTTTCAGTCTACTTCTGGTGGCAGGAGGCACTGTGCTGAAGATTTGTGACTTTGGAACAGCATGTGACATTCAGACACACATGACCAACAACAAAGGAAGTGCAGCATGGATGGCCCCAGAAGTATTTGAAGGCAAATATGAGTAGTATTACAGCTGTTTGAAATGTTTTCCTATTTCTTGACCAAGAAAAACTGAGATGTGTTTTTCTAATTACCTCAGCCTCATCATCTTTGTCATGTTTCATCTAATTGGAGATGGGTCCTGCTATTATTATTATTATGATTATTATTATTATACTATATATTACTTCCACCATACTCTTATTTATTGATAGTAGCTACCGAACCAGTGACAGTGAGATGATGAATGGAGTCATGCTGTACTGGCTTTTCTTCTGTAAACGCAGAATTTTTGTTCTTACACAACCAAGAGCCTAATGTAAGTCTACAATAAGAGACTGATTAGAGGATGTCACAGGGAAAGATGAATTACTCCTAGTCATTGCCTTGTTTTTGGATGCATGTTGCAAGACTCCAGTGCAATTAAACAACCCGCTTTTGCCCCCTCAGTGAACCCTTCACAACTAATTTGCATCAGTGTGGAATGTTATCAGGAAAACCCAGCGCAGCAAGTTTGAAATAGGTGTATGATGTGCACTTTAATTCTTCAATAACAGGCTCCATAATTAAGCAACACAGGAGCCGTTCCTTGGTGAAAATGGCTCCCTTATTTTCATCCTCCTCCCCACTGAAAGCAAGAGAAAAGCTGCTGCCTTTGCCAGGCACATTCCTCGCTCTCTTGTCAAATGTTCCGCAGAGAATTTCCTTTATCAGTCAGTGATGTCAGACTGAGCCTTTTCCCCCTCTTTGAAAAGGACCTAAGTGTTGCTGTGGGTTTCTTTCTACTCACAGGCAGCAATTACAGCGAGAAGTGTGATGTGTTCAGCTGGGGAATCATTCTTTGGGAGGTGATCACCCGCAGGAAGCCCTTCGATGAAATCGGAGGGCCAGCTTTTCGCATTATGTGGGCTGTGCACAATGGTGAGTCACTCTTCCTGTCTGACTGTGTGGGTCTGTGTGTTTGTTTGTGGTGGGTGATGCAGAGGTCACATCCAGCTGTCGGCCACTAAGAGTGCTCAGGCATGCATGCTAGAAGATTGTCAAAATAAAGATGTTGGCAGAGGGGGTAAAAGACATGTTGACCTTTTCAGCTCTCCTTGCAGTTTATTGCATCCTGGATGAAGCACTACTGACTCAAAAAATGGGAGGCAGTAATATATAATATTTATTTCTCTTGTGTTGTGTGATGCAGATATGTCTTTCCCTGTAACTGCGTGTGACCAGTTATTTCTTTTTATTGTATTCAGGCACAAGACCACCTTTAATCAAGAATTTGCCCAAGCCCATTGAAAGCCTAATGACTCGCTGTTGGTCCAAAGACCCCTCTCAGCGGCCTTCCATGGAAGAGATAGTGAAGATCATGACTCATCTAATGAAGGTATTCTGCCTTGTGTACTTTTAGTAAATTGAAGTAAATGAATCAAAAAACTGCAGTCTCCGGGGGTCTCATCAGTTTGTTAAAATTAGGGATGTACACCTCTAGCTGACAGCAATGTTTAATCATTGCTGTCCTTGCTTGTCGGCACCAGAAAAAGTAGCTGGTCGAATATATTCTAAACATATTAGTTTATAAATGGCAGTTACCAGTCCAGAGATGTTATGACTAGGGATGGGTATCGTTTAGGTTTTATCCGATACCGGTGCCAAACCGGTACTTTTGAAACGGTGCCGGTGCTTAAAATATGGAAAACACAAACCTTGTCCAAAAACCTCTCATGTTTATCTGTTTTTTTGTAAAAAGATAACAATGTTAGCCTTTTATGCAGCTATAGGTCATATATGGTATCACTCTTGGCTGGAAGCAGTGCTTAAACAATGGAAAAAAACACAAATTTTGTCCAAAAACCTCTCATGTTTAACTGTTTTCCAATTTTTCTTTGGTCATTTTAGCCTTTTTGGCCAGGGTGAAGGGAGTATCTGCCATCAAACAAGAAGACAGCCGCATGTAACTACGACGGTGTTTTCTAGTTTACCTTACATGCATTAATGTACAATTATACACGAACAACATTAAGCTACTCACGCAGAGAAGAATGGCTGCTGCTGCCATCATCATCAGTCATCATTTCTGCTACACTGGCAGGGCTAGGGGCCAGGGCTCTCCTCTTCCGTTTCTTGGGGGATGTTGATAACTCCGGGTCCGATAACAGGCACCACACACAGAGTAGGTACGGTGCATTTCTCGGCTTTAAAAAAAGGGGTATGCGTCGCCAGGTGTTTCATCAGATTCAAGGTGTTACCTCCTTTGCACAGTATCACCTTAAAGCACTTGTTGCAGGCTGCTGAGTTTGCATCTTTTGCTGTGAAGTACAGCCAGACTTTTGACTGCTTCACCTTGGGCATTTTTAATCTGTAGCTCTGCTCTAAAAGAACGTACGTACCTGGGCCCACCTACTATCCTTGGAAACATAAAATGATTGGCTAGAATCTGAAGTGTATCAAATCTCAGGGAAAAAAAGCACCGAAATAAAGCACCGAAATGTGCGCTGCTTTTCGGTCTGGTTACTACCGTTTATGTCAGAACCGATACCGGTACCCATCCCTAGTTATGACACCACTATCCATCTCTCCCTCTATCTCTCCGGTCAAAGGGGAAGTAAACAGGCGACGAGTATTAAATGGTGAGGTTGTGCAGATTTTTGTGCTTTTTCAAAAAAAAATTGAGCAGCTGTATTTTTGCCGTTCAAAATTAATAATTTCATTAAAACCAAGCAACCAAATTTTGCACCAGGGTGTGGACACTAGCATGAAAGAAAACAGTTTAATCTGTTTTGCATTTGGGATGATATATACACCATTTGTGAAAGAATGGGGCACTCTCAGGAGCTCGGTGTATTCCAATATGGTATCGCGATAGGGTTCCGAGTGTGCAACAAAAATGTCCTTGCTACTAAATATTACACAGTCAACTGTTAGTGGTATCATAACAAAGTGGAACCGATTAGGAATAAACCTTGTGGAAATTCTTCCTAAAGGAGTTGAAGCTGTTATAGCTACAGGAGTAGGGCTGCACGATATTAGGAAAACCTGTGATGTGCAATAACTTTGATCAATATTGCGATAACGATATGACTTGCGATAAAATAAATAGCAAAAAAAAAAATTAATACATAATTTCCATTTTACTGCAACAGTTTTATTTAAAGAAAGCTGCTGTATGAGCAGTGTAACAACAAAGTGCACTTTAACATTGAAACATTACCCCCATAAAAAAAAGACATCCTTCCCGATCTCTATCATTAGTTTTAAATAAACATAACTTAAATTATACTGCAAATGATCTCAATGCAGTTGTTCATCATTTTACCACTCACCAAGTAGTTATGATGTAAGTCAAAACTGGAGAGGAAACTTTACTGTAGTGCTTGCGTAGTTTTCAGCTTGGGTTAGTTCAAACATGACGGTCTTGCAGCATGTTTCGTACATTTGTGGAATGGCGACATGGGAAATGTAGTTTCGTGAGGGGATATGCGGTATCTCCGGTCCACTTTATGTATTAGACTGGTGAAGCCCTCTCTGCTAACTGTATTTATAGGCATCATGTCTTTAGCCAAAAAATTTGTAATGGCCTCTGTTATTTCTTTATACCGCTTCAACGTTTTCTCATAAGGAGTTCCACTTGAAAAATCTGAAACAGAGACTGCTGTTGGATTGCTGTGCTCTTTGTCTTAACATTAGCAACCTTTGTTTGGCTAGCCCTATCTTTCTGGAACTCTTCAAACAGTTCTCTGTGGTTGTATTGAAGATGATGGTGGAGATTAGTCGTGATTCCTCTGGTGGTTGCCACAAGTGTTCAGGAAGTTTTGCAGAGTACCTGTGTTTGGAGAACGTCGTCTTTATCAAATCCAAAGTACCTCCAATTAAGCGAGGTACTATTATTATTATTATTTTTTTTTTTTAAGCCACGAGTTCATAGTCAGTAGCATTCTTGTCATGTGTCTCGCTCTCAGCCATTACAACTCTGACTCGTTGCTGTAGTGTTGTTCACTCCCCACCTTTAATCCATGTGATTGGTTAATGCCGTGAAGGGCTCTATTCGACTGATCAAATGTGTAAAGGGGTTTCTTTTATTGGTAAATTCTTTAAAGCACGTGTGTAAACATTTTAAGGTACCCAATTATCGCCGTTTACGCCGTCTTTTGCGATGGGCCCATCGCACAGGCTGATATCGCGATGACAATAAATTTTCGATTTATTGTGCAGGCCTATACAGGAGGCAGGCCAACATAATTTTAAACGCTATGAATTAAGAATGGGACGTTTATATACGTGTGAACTAAGCCTGGGCAATATGAGGAAAATCTAATGTCACAATATTTTTTTTGATTATATCACGATACACAATATATATCACGATATGTTTAAATAACCTCCAAAAACAAAAATTGTTTTCAACCATACAGTGCCTAAATTTGCACTGGTATGCTCATTCAATATTTATTTTTCTGCTTTGAATACAAGAAATCTGAATGAATTAAAATGTTTTATTTAAACCATTTTTTTTAACCATCAGTTGCACGCAGAGGTTTTTGACCAATGACAATACTGTCACAGCAGGTGGTCAACACTAGACCTTTAAAAAGCAAACAAAAGATCATAACGAAAAAGGACATCGAGTAATAATAAAACAATTGAAATTGTTCTTTTGTGCTTATAATATATAAAAATAGTAAAATTAAAATGTGATGACCCCAAATTACAGAAAAAAAAGTCTAGACGGTGACTATAAAAACGATTGACAAAGAATCAGGTATCACAGCTGTTTTATTTAACATTTTCTTTGGTGTGTGGGAAGATGTTGACATGCAGAGTTTAAAACATTCTTCATTTTGCAGTGGATGACTTTTCGGCTGTTGGAATACATTTGTGCTACTGCTTCCCGTTTGCGGCAATAGTTTTACGGCACATTTTAACCATTTAACACCATTTTAACAGTCTTACATCGATACCAAACGTGTATACTAAGAGGTTTGAGGGGTAGCACTGGTGGCCAACAGTATTTTTGAACATTGATGTAATTATGCAAATTATAGATAGTCTTGTGTATTATTTTATAACACTTCTAAAATACATCATTCATATGTTTGAAAAACCATTATACTATTCTAAACAAACCACATCTTTATTCATATACAGTGGGGCAAAAAAGTATTTAGTCAGCCACCGATT